TTTACATAATTATATCCAGATTAGTTCTTTGATTTGAAAGTATAATATATGAATAAATACTAAATATAGTAATTAAATTTATTAAAAAATTGTTATTCAATACTTTAATATTGTAATTTTTACGGAGAAATTATAAAAAGTTAAAGGACTTGGCGCAATACTTTAAAAAAAAAAAAATTATTACTTATGAATAAATACATTGGTCTAAAAGGAACTTAGAATCAAAAATATACCTTCTAAAATTTAGAAAGTATATTTTTCTGTTACCTCAGGTCTCAAGTTGATTTAATCAACTTAAGACCTGAGGTAACAGATACAAAAAAACACATCATAGTAAAATTAATACCTTCTCAGCTTCGCATTGAAGCTAAAAAGAAAAAAAATACAAATCATTAAATAATATAACTATTGGTAAAGAATAACTATTAAAAATAATCCACAATGAATACGCTGTATAAACAAACAAAAAAATGGAATAAGTACAAAAATTAAGAATTGTAAGTAGATCTATCGGTTGATAAAATATTTTTTTAAATACGGTCATGAGACGTATCCAAAAAGTCACAATACATACAAACTAAATTGGCTAGTGTATAGTAGGGAAAAAAGATCTAGCTGCTAAATTAGTTTTAAAAGTAAGAACATAAAATAAAGATAGAGGTCTAGTAAAATGAACCAAGGTAAGAAATCCAACCTGGAATAGTAGTTCAGGGCAATCAATATTGAAATATACAAGTTCGTAAATAAACCAATTGAGTCCACTTTAATGTAAATAAATCAGTAATGTAATCCCTGAAAAAAGGTCGTTTCATCTTAAAAAATATATATATATCTTATTATTTTTAAAAGTTTATATTGAACATTCTCATATTTCGAATTATATGTTGTGTAGTTAGGAAATCAAATAAGAGAGCCAAGCTCTACGTGAGAACAAACACAAGAGGAATATAAAGATTTTATGAAATTTTTGTTTTTAAATTGTATTATGTTTCTATTTCAAAAATAAAATATTTTTAAAGCTTTATTAATAGTAAAACTAACATAAAAAGTAAATGTAAAATCGAAACTACAATAAATACCCAAGTCTCTAACTGAAGACAATCTTTTTAATTGAATACTTGAAATATGATAATTATAAACTATTAAAGTATTGTTACGAACAAAAGATATAATATGACATTTATCAATGTTTCAAGAGAGAAAATTGAGCATACTCCATTCAATAAATCGATTTAAATTAGCCTGTACAATTTTATAATCATCACAAGAGCGGACTATAAATGTTTGTATCGTCAGAATATAATAAAAATTTAGTATCATTACCAAAAATAGAAGCGAAATCATTAATAAAACAAGAAAAAATAACGGACCCAAATGAGAGCCTTGATGTACACCTGAAAAAATATCTGTTTTGTGTAATCCATTACATAAATAAACTTTTTCCAAAAAGTAGGAAAATAATGTGCACAATGATCAATTAAATAAATATAATAAAGGTTTAATTAGAACATTGCAGCAGTTCTTTAAGAAAATAGAGGTAATATTGTCAAGACTAACTACACAATATAAGTTTAAAGTAAATAAATAATCACTAACCTCATTTTCATATAATTGTCAACTATTAAAATTTAAGTTAGAACTAATATTTAAGTTTAAATGGATGAATAAGATATTTCTATACAGTTAGAATCCTTAACCTATAGAGAAGAAAAGTAATCACGGAAAAGAGCACCTGATTCTATAATACATTCAGAAATCATAAATATAACAATATAGTAAAATTAATTAATATTTTTTTTGAAACGGTTTATATAATTCTAAAAGGGCTTTTGCAATATCATATTAAATTTTAACTAAATAATTGTTAGCACATTGATTCGACATAATTTTACATTGCTTTCTAAGATTAGAATATATACAATAATCATTATAGTTATTACTAATTTAAAATTTATTAAGAGCAATTTTTTTTTAATAGATGAGTAATTTAGATCAATACTCATTTTAAGGACAAACATCTCAATTACTTGATTCAAAATTTTATAAGACTTATCTACAGCAAAATTTAAATCGAAACATCTAAAGTTTTCAAAAAAAATGAATTACACTTATTAATACAGCAATAATCTATTAGAATTTGAATTATTCTTAGATTTGTAATTAATTAAAAATTCAAGAGGTCGGTGATATTTATCCTGGAGAAGAACAAGTGATTCACCTGTCATCATTGAATTGACTTCTAAATTAGAAAAAATTAAATCTAATGTACGTCCAGAAAAATTAACAAATTATTAAATTTAAATAACTAAAAATGAGTTTACGACAGTTTCGCCATCAGTATATTTTTGACAAAAAATATCTATATTCTAACTAAAACCATCAAGATTGAAATCACCAATTATAAGTAATCGAGGTTTTTTATATTTCAGCGTTAAATCTTCTATAATATTACAAAATTCTGTATATATATTAAAGTTACAATCTGTTGTACCAGTTAATACCACATTAAGACACAAATTAATACAAGCTCAAGCTCATTACAATTTACTCTAACACAATGAGTAATCCGTGAAAATTAATTTTGATAACATAACTTGTTCACAAATAAAATCATTTTTATAGTTTAAAACACCCACACCCCGATTTAAATAAGAATCTAATCTATCAAATCTAAATACATTAAAATTTGATTAACCTAATTCACAATCATCAAAATCAGAATTGAGCCATGCTTTAGTAATAAATAAAAATCACAGGACAAAGATGAATCAGCAGAACGGAAGTATGATAATTTTATCTTTAGATCTCTAACATTCTGGTAAATGACGTGAATATTTAATAATTCTGACTATGATCACTTTTACTTTTTACAATCGTAGGGATACCTTTAATAAATTTAATTGTATTATCAGATTTAATCTACTAAATCTACGAAAAGAAGGTTCCACTCGAAATATACGCATTTCTTTTTGGTAGCCAGTTCTATATGTACTTACGCTGATTGACGATGGAGAAATAAGAGACAATATATTTTTATAGTATCAAATGTCTTGGCAATAGAACTAAAAGATACTTTTAATGAACCAGTCTGTTTTGATCGGTTTAACGTTATTGTACATAATAGTTTGCAATACAATATTCAATTGAACGAGGTCATGCATAATTCATCATCAGCTTGGGCAGTTGTACTTTCCACAACATTGTAAAAAATTGGATTAGAAGTACGTAGTCTACGCTGGTTAAAATTACGTTTATTTAGAATTCTTCTTACCGAGTAGTAGTCATCTAATAGTTTCATTATTAGACGTTTTAAAACTAAATCACAAGCTTTCCAAAAATATTTTAAACTTCTATTTTTAGCAGACAAACATTTGATTTCAGTAGAAGTTTTGAACATTTATTATAAGCTTACAACTATCACATTTAATTGGGTCATCAAACTCATCAAAAACCAATCCACAAATAGAGCACATCCCAGACATGTGAAATTAAAACTACTAAGGTACATAGTTTAAAATGTATGTAATAAAACAAATCTTAACTATACGACGTATTGAAAAAAAACATGATTGCACTCAACGAATGTAATATTTTTACTGCAAACCACTTAATATGCCTGGCGTAGCCTGGTCTTCCTACGGGAATCAATGGCCTACTCATGCTGACGGTTAAAAGAGGCTTAGTGCCGAAGGAGTTTCAGACTCGTAGGGCTGGGGCGAATCCTATTTATAATATTTAAACATTTTTTTTAACAACTATTACACGTACTTTGTCTATAGGTTGAATAGTTCGTTTACAATATCTAAATAATCCAATAAAATCAAAATGAACGGTTTTTATAAAAATTTATTTGTTTATTTTATTTCTATATCTAAATATTAGGTACTTTTTTTGTAATAAAATATTTTATAGTAAACGCTTAATTCTATAAATTAAATTCTCATTTTTTTTTTGTAAATAGTATAGATTGTAAGGTAATTGTCGCAAATATAAAATAATACCCTAACAGTCAAGTTTTTAACTCTTTTGAGTTTAAGTGTTAACGCCACTAATTGAGTGACGTTAAAGTTAAAATTTGAGTGTAATTGACACTCAAATTTTGTGCAACTTAGTTTTTTTTACAATAGAACAAATTTTTAAATTCTAGGGGACAACAAATTGATAGAATTTCCAAAAATTAGCTGACATATACAACTTTAATATTTTTATACCTAGTCGGGATGAATGTAAAGTGATAAAAAGCAGCACCCTCTTCTCAGCTCCTGTCGTTACTTTAAATTATTTTAAGAAAATTGATTGGCTAGTGTTAAAACATCACTCTTAATAATTGCCTTCATAAAGTGTGTAGTGGAATATTTTAGATTTAAAAGTATTCAACCGTATATGATACGAACCATTTACGTGCATATCTGTAGAATTATATACAGGTATACGTTTATTTACAAAATCAAATTGGTTATACGCTTCACACTCTGCAAAACATCATTAATTATCTTTTTAATAAATACATTTTCAAAATTTTGAATTTGTTGAGGAAATAAAACAAATGAAATTTATCACCATCAGATAAACACATATAATATTATTAAATAAAATTTTTTAAAGAAAAATTTCATCCCCTAACAAATTCGACAGAAATATTTATAAAATTATTTTGAAATACCTACGTAATATTGTCACAAGTATTGTAATATATAGCAATTTATTTATTTTTAAATAATTTATGTACACAGTAATATATCATGATGGAAACTAAAAAAATAACTAAATGGAATTTTCATTAATATGAAAAAACTATAATATTGTTTTTAAAAGGTCTAGGAGGAAAATGTTGTTATATATTTTTTTAAATCTTTAGTTTCTTTGATATTATATAATAAATTTATTTAAAAATTAATCATAGTTTAATTTTAAGACGTTATATATAAAATAATTGCTGAGGATTTCATCTTATTCAATACCTAATAAAGAAGTAAAAAAGAAAAAAAAACAAAAAAAAAGAAAAATGAAAAGTAGCAAGGTTTATTCAATTTAATCTGTACAATAAGAAATAAAATTACCTTTTATTTCTAAAAATAATAAATATACACATGAGAATAGTAATTAATTGTTATTAACATTATCTGCGTTTTCTAAAACAAGTACAATTTAGTTTTGTCCATTTTTTTTAATACATTTATTAACAAATATAAATGAAATAGTATATGCATACATTAACCTTACTCCAAACATAGTCAATATTTGTGAAAATAAATTTACTAAAAAACTAAGACAAGGAAAAAAGAACTTAAGTCGTAAACAGTAATTAAGTTGTCTTAAAACCAATAATAAATTATTATTGTTTAGTTTACTGGCCTAGTCCATTAAGAATTTTTTTTTTCAAAAAATAAAATAATAATATTATACAAATAATTTATACGTGCTAGGAACAGGTAACCAATATATTTAATATTGCCTTAAAAATATGTATTTAAAGTATTTTCTTCTTCGTTCTACATTATATTTTACACATTTATAAATATATACATATATAAATATGAATATTATTATACATGGCATCGAACGTCACAATTTTTTTTACTATTTTCTACTGATGTTATTTTACCACTTTATTTTTAATTAAAATTTTTTACAACCTATCTACCGATAAATAACACATTTTATTGTCCGTCGGACATATTATTGACACATATCAAACAATATACATCCATTAGGTACATTTATATGTCTATATAACTCATACACATATTTATGTATACATGAATGCACAGTACATATAATATTGTTTTAGGTACCGAATTGACGTTCATTACCATTATACAGTGTCGTAAATAATAGTATTTGTAAATACTGTACATGAATTTTTCAAATTTATATATATAAAAGAAACTATAACTAGTCATTACACGTGTAGTACACAAATTATTCATATTATGCTTATGCCGACCGTTTAGGCGTTCAAATATAATTTTAGTATCGTTAAACAATTATTTTACAAAATATCATAATCATTAAAGTTCGTTTACCGTCGATACAAAATATATAAAAAATGTTTTGTAGTTATCGAGGGAAAGAATTAGTAAAATGGCATAGGTAGAACACAATATAATATATATATATATATATATGTATATGTGATACACACACATATCTTTATTAACATTTTAAGGTAAAGTATATGCGTGTAATGTATATTTAATGATTATACAAATATATATAGTGCGCATTTATCAATTATTATTGTTACCTCAAAACAGTAATAGATAATTATGAAAATACTTTTAAAAAATAAATGCTAGGACTGCATTGAATAATAATAATTATTATTATTATGTATAAAGTCTATGCGTTAATTTTATACGACACGATAGTTAGGTTAAAAAACAGAAACAATGTATGTTATTTCTACAGGTTATACTTGTTTTTACGACTTCACGAGTCTTTTGGCGATTTTAAAATTTCAGATATTTTGTTCGTTAGTTATGTGTGTGTATTTAATATTATGTTTAATCAGTCTGCTCATTAATCAGTCCGTTGTTCGATGACCAACGGCAAAGGCTGTTGGTCGATCGTGTTGTTTATGGACGATGCTCCGGTGCAATGGCTGTTCTTGACCAGTTCATCGATATCCTCTACAAAAACGTTATCCTGATTCGAATGATGGTGATTATGATGGTGACCGTCAATAGATCTTTTGTAACCGCTCAGACTAACCTACGGGCAACAAATATATTTTTAATTGTTGACATGAACTCAAAAAATTAGTTATATTATAAAAATATAACAATAGAAGAAATACTAAATGTGAATGAATAACTTTAAAAACACAATTTTTATTTTCTATGCATAATTTAAAAATCCCCGTGCTGACAGTTAAGTACAAAATGAACTGTCAATTAACCAGCATAGAAGAATAACATTCCTTAAAACTAAAATGTTTTAGTCCTAAACGGACACAGGCGTATTTTCTATATTGTACACCTAAAAAATACACATATTAAAATATCTCTCCTCTTAAAAAAATAAAAGATTAGTCGTTTAATATCGTCTCTGAAGTTTTTGAAATGAAATCACTAACGGTCAACTACGAAATTTAAATAATAAAAAAAGAAATGCGATTTAATTACGATTGTTTAGTTTACCTCTACGTTGTTGTTAGACACTAGTGGAGAATCGGGTGGCGTTGAGTTAGGCGACATGTCGGCAGGACTAGGCAGGTGAGACGATGCTAGTAAGGCAAAGGCGTCTACACCGGATGAAGGTGAGATGTTGTGTCCGGCCGCAGCCATCATTTGTTGACGAAGTCCCTGAGCCACGGCTACAACAGCGGCGGCTGCCGAGTTGGGTGACACAGGTCCTTCTCCTGACGGTAATGAGTTGTTACCGTAATGGCCACCGGACATAGGGTCAGGCAAGCACTAGAATAAAAAAAAAAGATACTCTCAGAATAAGACACGTACTAATTTAAAAAATCGTATTACTTAACAACTTTATTAACAATAAAATAAAATAATTACACTGTAATATAAATACGCTGTATTACTTTTTTTTTTATTAATTTATAAAGAACGCATATTTATTTGCCGGATGTCATGTCATACCATAAATAGAAAAGGTTATCTTTTCGAATAACAAACCAAATTGTTTGAAAATAAGTTTTAATGTATTTTAACTAACGAAATGTAGCGAGGTGTAATATATAGAAGTAATAAACACTTTTACGGTTTAATAACAACTACCATATTACAACAAACTAACAAATAATAGCGAGAGACGAAGCGCGTTTTAAGACAGAATGCGTAAGTGATTGACTGATCGATTGACTGGCTGGAGCGACGATCTTGCCCTTAAATAGTCAGAGGAATCTTCTAGAGGCGGCGGCGGCCGGACATTCTAGAATATTCGACCGCCACAGAAATGTAAAGGATTGCGAAAGTAGACCTGAGCTTGAGAAACTCCAATAATGAATTACAAATGTAAGCTGCAGTCAATCAATCATAGATTATATAATTTTAAGTAAACGAACGAGTTATTTGAAAACTTAAAACATTACTATATAGTTTCAAAATAACAGAGATGGAAAAAAAATTATTTTCGCGTCATAAATTATTATTGAACAAATTGTATACGATTTTTTTTTTATCTATTCAAATGTTTAATAAATATTAAAGTTGTCGGTTTAAATTATTCGTTTATACATAAAATTTAAAATATTCGTGTCGCCAATAAACGACAAAAAGTAAATAAGTAAACAATTCTAATTTAATTTCGATTTTTTTTTTTTTATTACTATTATTATTTTATATTTGCCATGACGCGTATAATATTATTTAATAAAATAATAACTTTTTTTAATTGTTGAAATCATATATTGCCGCTGGTACCTATATTGCCCTTGACTCGATAAATTAATAACAGTAATTTTAAAAGTATACTATGGATTTTACTTTAAAAATAACAATATTACTATCCGTGACGCAGTTAAAATTCTATCGTGCATAAACTAAAGTTTTTGAAAAACTTGTATTAGGTAAATTTTATTAGAAGTTATGATTTATCGTGACCCAATAATTTCTACAAAATTATATTATAAAAAGGAAATAATAACTAATTAAATCCGGTTATATAAGTTTTATCATTACGTAATATATTTAATTGTGGTTCAACCACCCACACAACTAATTAGAAATACACTGAAAAGAAACAAAATACACGTCATAGAGTAAAACCTTATGTTTATTCATTAACAAGATAACATTATAAGTATTATCAAGTCGAGTAAATAAATTTAGCTCAATCATGGTTTACATGTCTTTTTGGCAAAATTACTTTAACAATGTTAGCAGCATTCTTCTAACAATTTATACTTAATTATATTTTTTAGGTACACTAGTTATAATTGTATTATCATTAAGAGCATTCTTACCGGTATTCTTGGGTACATGTGTAACGCTTCTTCTTTGATGTTTTGAGCATCTCTAAATACAACAGTCCTAATAACATTTTGAATGTGATCTTCAGGCCAAAATCCTAAAAGTATTCGCTGGGGACGTCCACGACCTTTAGGCCTCAAGTCTAAAAAATAATAAAATAAAGTTATTATTCTATTTAAAACGCTTTAAATAATAATAAATATTGCATAGAAAAAAATGTATACATAAAATTCGCCTTTACAAATATTTAAAAGTAATTTTAATTAAATTTAAGTACTGTTGAAATCTCAAACGTCAAATTTAAGTAGCAACTGGATATTATAGGTACACTCAAAGTAGGCATACAGTAGTTGAGAATCTAATGGATAAGTGTACACAGGTTTATAATTAATAAGTTCTCGAAAGCACTTTTGTTAAATACACATAATGGAATATCGTGATAATTTTATAGAAGAAAAATGAACCATTATTTAATAATAAAAAGTGTGCTTATACTAATTGATGATTTATCGATCATATTTTATTTGTTTTTTTTTTCGTTGATAGATAAATTAAAAAAAAAATTATTTCAATTTGTTATCTTTAAGAAAAAAATATAAATATAATCGATATTTAAAGGTAACTATTTTATATAGTTGTCTATTAAAAAAATAACAAAACAATACCTGCGCCTCCATCAGCAGAGGGTCCAAGTAAATTGTGCACGCGGTTAGCGTATAACACAAATGTAGGATACGGTATGTCGTACTTGCGAGCAGCCTGCGACAGAGATAGACCTTCTTTGAGCACTGACAGTATCGCTTCGGCCATGGTCTCAGGTCTCCAAGACTTGAGAGGACCACGTTCCCTGAACCGCAAATTATGTACTAAACTTTGATTGGTGTTCCAGCATTTTTGCCACATAGATTGTAGTTGATACTGGTAACTATCAGCTATTATTAAATAAAATAATAATCCAATTAGATAAAAACAATTATTTGTATCGAGATTGAGTTAATGATACTCATACACTTAAAGACTCATTTGTTCATATATGAAAATAATTTCTAGATTAAAACTTTTCAAAACTCTAATTAAAAAATAATTTATGCGAGCATTTCTGTTATATAGTACGTTCTCTAGAATTGTAACTTATAATTATATGCATTAAAAGTAAGGCCATGAAAAATAAAAGTCAAAAATTGAAGGTAGGAAAAAAATATATACAACAGTGAAGTTTCTCAGGCTTAGTCAAATTAAACTATTTAAAAAAGCTATACAATACAGTACAAATATTTCATAGCCTATTATAATAATAATAAAAAAATAATAATTCAGCGTCAAGTTGTGCAATGCCACTTTTGGGACTATAAAAATATTATATTTATAAATTATTAATATTTATGACTTTTACTATTTTTAATTTATTTCGTAATTAAATGAACATGTTAAATATATAATCGTTTCTTAGAAGCGAGTCAATTAACTTAAAATAAATAACTTTTTTTTATGGGAACATAATTTGTTTATGAAACCAGCAAAGCTATAACTTTCATTAGTTAATACACATCAACCAATAAAATTCCGCGGTAAAATTTCATAAAAATCAATTTAGACATTACCAAATACGTATATAACATATTACCGCCATCACTATCAGTATCTTATATTTTACAATTCTCTAAAAAAAAAAAAATTAGTCCTATTTCTCCAATGGGTTTGGAAGGCGGCTTAGCATCTTCAATTTTAAAATTATCCTCCCTAAATTTCATAACTATATGTATTTTTATACAAAAATTATCTTGAGGAGGGAGAAATTGGACATAAGCATCACTAAAAATGTTGTTTGAATTGCTCCTCCTCTCCCTTTTAATAAAAGTATTACCTTATATTTTTGAAATATAAACATGTATGTTTAATTACCATAAAAATAAGAAAATGACCAGTCCTTAACGACTTTTGAACACGTTTATTTTGGAAGTTAACTATAATGACTGGTGATGATGTGCGAGTCTAATTATATTTATCTCTAGGTATTTATAAACTGCTCTACTCCAATTTTAGTAAAATTATAAAAGTGCTAATATCTTTTGAGATACTGATTCTAAAGTTGTTATAGATCAGTCATCATCTTATTTTTAAGCTAGTTAAATATATATGTTTCTATTTCAAAAACTTAGGTTAATACTATTTTATAGAAGGATACAGGGGATATAAGACAACGTTTTTTTATGAAAATAATAGAACAGTATCTTATCGACTTCTGAAAAGTAAAAAGTATAAACTGTTTTATACTTTTAATAATGTTGCGTGAGGCATAGTTAATCAATCACCTTGTATTTCATACACATGTATAATATTTTATTTACAGCAATAAAAATATTTAAAAAATTATTGTTAAACACAAGTGTCTAACTTTTTTTATAATATATAAATTATCTTAAAATGGAATAGCGTTTGTCTAAATATCAACTTATAGCAATACTTATTAGGGTCTTCAGCTTAACTACGACATTTAATATACAAAAAAACTAATGAGAAAATAAATGAAAAAAATTCAATATGAGTACAATACACAGCTGTATGTACATAAATAAGACAAAATGTTTTACCCGATTGGCGGGTGCATGTGACGTAATGGCTCGTTTATATTATTTTATAATATTATAATATATGTGTGCANTTTTTTTTTGACATTTTCATACAATATATAATTTTATATTATTAAAATATCAATATTTCAATTTTTACAATAATTGAAAATATTATACGTAAGTAGTTTTTAAGATCTACATGCATTTAAAAATGTATAATATTGTATTGGACAATATGTCTTTTTGGACTTTATTTTTTAAAACAAAACTATGTAAAACAACTCAAACATAAAAAAAAATGTAGAAGTGTTATTGTCTAGGGCAGCTGTATCTCATTTATAGATAGCTATACATTTCAATATGAATCGTTATATATTATTAGCTCGTTAAATTTTCAACCTTGTTATTAAGCAATATAATAATTACATAATGGCCGAAAAAAGACACAGGAAATAATAGTACACACGAAAAAAAGACAACAAATGCTAGAACGGCGTTTCCCATGGGTAATGAATTATGCAACCGTATAATATTCCTTTTCTTTTGTATTCAATCCTTGGATTGGTCTGTAGAAAATCTCTACTTTTCGCTGTTTTAATACTATAATAATATATGGCGGTATTCATAGGTAACATGAACTATATATTTTTAATAAATATGTAGCCGTTTTTATAAGTTCTTAAATGTATTTTAACAAAAACTTTTTAACATTGAAAAATATTCCGAGTGTATAATTATTACGATTTGAGCTGCATATACGCCGACTAATAATGAGTCAAATTTATGTTAATTATCATAGTTATTATAATCATTTTTCAATATTATACTGCTGTCATTGGCTAACATAAAACGAATTTCTAATGTAAGAACATAATGAAGTGTCCGTGTACATACAAATTTTATGTAAAATAGACATAGCTCAATTATGAGAAGACAAATTAGTAACGATAACAAAACAGCATCAAGCGATCACCATCGATAGTTGATTCGCGGTAATTATGCGCAGAAGTGGCGTACTTGACAAAATAACAAATGAAACTATCAATCTAATAAAAACATGTGGATAGGTCATAAAAAATAGAAAAAACGGTATATTCTCATCGACATTCATTTTGTTTATTTATTATTTGAACCAGTAAAATAAAAATTAAATTAAAACAACACACGATATAGAAAAGACAATACAGGAAATATAATTTATTTACAATCGTTATTTTTTATTTCAACAACTACCGATTATTGTAGACGTGGTTTCAAGGCACGTTATTTTTTTGTAGGTTACTGACCAGTGATGTTAACTTTTACCACATTAATGTAATCGAAGCAAAATATAGAATTTTTAAAGAAAAATATACAAGCCAATTGTAGTATTAACAATAAAAAGAAAATATAATATCAATTTGCTTCCTAAGGTATTAAATTATTATCTAGTTCTATTGTACATTGGAGAACGTTTAATACATGAAAATAAATCCTAAAAACGAGTGGTAAATTTATTTAAATCTTGAGAAATATTACAATAATAGTAACACAAATTGCAATTAACGATTTCATTATAATGACTTCCCGATGAGAGAAAACCTCTACAGTCTTATTCATCATTCCCACGGGGAGAAATAAATGTAAAAACATACAAATTGTGTATTGTATTTTTAATTTTTATTTATATTTTTTAAAAATCAGCTAATAATTTTTCATGAAAAACTTAATAATTTAAAATATTATAAACGTGTATTTGTTTGAAAAATAAACGATATGTATCTACAGTTTATGATCATGAGAGGATGTCACTTCATATTATTATGAAGTACAACAGAATATTTCAAAATTTAACACTTGTTATTTATTTGAGGTATCAAGTAAATCAGATAGTAACACATATAATATCAAAATCAACGAGAGGGAATAGAAAGAAAGTATTACGTAACTACAGAGCAAATATTTATTAATTTTTATACAGGAAGACATTTAAATAAGACTGAGTTAAAAAAAAATTGGTTTTAAACTTACTTCATATCATTAAGTATCAAATCAGTAAATAGTTGGTCATGAATTAAAATTTATAAGAAATTAAAAACTTTTTAATGCGTTTTAAACAACTTTAAAATTTGAAAATTAATTTACTGTTTTATACATAATTTGCGTAAGACAAGTTGTGTATACATATTTTTTTACAGAGATTAAATTATACATATACATAATTTAACATTACTGTAGAATATTACATGGTCGACTTAAAATAAATTATTTGGGCCGAGTTTGCAAGTCACTAGCAATAATTAAAAATATTAAGCGAATAGGGAAAATATAATAATGTTCATTTAGCAAGCGAAAATATTACAAGTATGGCTATGGTAAAGAAGAGTTATTTTTAATTAAAAATATATTTTAAATTATTATACATGTAAAAAAGGGGGATTTAAATTATTTTTTGGAAGAATAAGGTTTTTGTTTAGTTTTAATTTTGACGGATGAAAACGAAATTAACAAAAGTTTACACAAAAGAGGGTGTTTTTAATGGCCTCAACTCGATAAGAGGTTAACGAGAGCAGGACAGAAACAGTAAACGATCCCGTAAAAATTACTGAAGAAAAAATGGTCTAACCGAATCCTATTTGAAATAAAATAACAAAAAAAAAATATATATATATATATATATAGATAGATAGATAAAAAGACCAATGTACAGTAGTTTAGCTAAAATTAAAAAATCCTCTCTAAACCATAACTTGATTAACACTCAATGGTAAAAATTATATAGATTACACAAGATACAAAAACTATTAACTTCCGGGTTGTAAAGACGAGGTTCGCTTTTGAAACGATTGAATTATGCTATAAAATAATATAAAAATGTTATTATAACGTAGGATAAATTTAACGCTATAGATGATAATGATTTGAAAATAAATTAAACAGATGCGAGTATCAAAGAAAAATTATTGCTCTTAGTATCCTTGAAGAATAAGTATATATGTGTACTTTAAGTACACCATCAAATATGTGTACTATGTTGCAAATACTTTAATTTTGCCAGTATTCAATTTTTATTTCCTTAGTTATTTAGTAATTATTCAAGTAAGAAGGTTTTGTTATAAAAATATGTATATGAATATTGCAAATATACAATATAATATTATATAGCACGTACATGGGAAAATAAGCACATGATGACATAGTAAGGTTTCAAATTACAGAACATGAGAGAATCAGTCAATATTTAGACCAATAAAATCATTTGAATTAACCATGATATTACATATTTTATACATTAATAAAATTTATCATATATTTTAGAGTACATAAGAATATGAATATTAATACTAAAATCAGTATGTACACAACGAATAAAATGTATGTATTTAAATAAAAGTTACGCATTATATCAAAAATAAATTACTTATACTGTAAATTAATAAAATAATTATTTTAGTTACAAATAAATGGTGTACTTACAGGTCATGGGTGAGGATGTAGAAGCTAACCAGGCTTGAGAACTTTCAAACATTTTTGCCTAAAAAAAACAATTAAAAAATTATATTAAAATGAAATAATTCTTTGAATAAAAGTAAAAGATTTATATAAAGAATTCTAGTCGTAGGTCAAAATATGCATCGTTAAAATTATAATTTTATAACATAATAGTTACAAGATTGAGTTATCTAAATATTTATGGTTTTTACACAAATTACTTATCAATGTGCAATTATTAACTATCAAGTATAGTCTGACATCACACAGTGTTGCGAATACCAAATATAAAAAACACCATATTCTTTTTAAAAGATACAGGAAATGTTAAAAATAAACTCTATGGTAGAAGAGTGGTGATTTATTGTGTGATTCTGTGCCGTTGATCTAGTTAATCTCGGAATTCAGATCGGAAATAAACAGTCCCTTGTTAATAGTTTTTAGATTAGAAACTGCTTACATTTAATGGTGTGATGAGCCAGTCAAAAGGTGCGATGAAGGTTATTATATATTCGTACCTATCCCCAGCAAAATGACATAAATATTTATGTAAACTCGGACTTCTCGGGCGTATACGATCTAATCCCTATAATTTGATGTACGTGTATTTAGATGGATTAAACGTATACATAATACTATTTAAATATTCCGCACTTAACGTCACGCATTAGACGATATATTGATGGTTTGCGCGTGTGTTGACTTTAGTCGACGACAATCGGATGTAATAGAATATATTTCATAAAGATGGTGAACACAATAAGCAGCGTCGATAAGTATATTTAAATTTTCATGCGTTCTTATTAAATCCATCTCTAGCGTCATGTACCCCGGAGGCTGTTGGCCCGCATTTACAATTGTAAAATATTTTAGTGTGTATAGGTGTTAACACCAGATAATACCGTCTGTATGAAGTGAAATTAAGTATTTACACGGAGTTATTACACAGTAATATATTAGAGGAGTAAAGGAGGACATTTCTTACTGCTTAGCTTAATCTTTGTTTTTTATGGAAATACGTTTAAATAAAAGTTTAAAAATAAATACATGTATAGGGAACACTACTATGATCAAATACACACACTGGAAAGTCATCATTTTAATGGATATTAATATTAATTGAAAAATATATGTAAACTTATTTACCGCGATAAAATTTGTCAATTTTATAAAACTTTTAAAATAATTAAAGGTTCATCACATTGAACATAATCAGGACGATTGTAATAGGACGTGGCAAGTTTGTTTTTTAATTTTCTAATACATTGTGCATATAAGTAGCCGAGTAGCTCACAAAATGAAAATATTATAGAGATCCACCCGAAGAATGTTTTCTACGATTCTAAATTCCACTTTTTCCGTGACAACAAATAACACTGTATCCGTCAATATAAATATTGAAAGAAGGCCCGTTATTTTTTTTAAGTAAAGTTTGATTTGAAACGTCACAACAGATTTTTCGGGCAAGTAGTCCAAAGAGATTACTCGAAAATGGGCGGACAGACTAAGTATAGGTTAACTCGGTGTGTACATAGAAGAATCATCCTTTTCTACAGCACCATTAAAGCTCAGTACTAGTGTTTTGTTTGGGTGAAGGGTCGCCCCACTTCCGTATCAACATATATTCATACAGAGCTATATATCATCATTTCTTTATTTTCATTCTATACTAGCCCCGACAATCATGGCAGTAGTATCCCCCCCACAGTATTGTGGTGCATAACTGTAGCATGAGTCTACAAAGAAGTTTCAAAAACATATTTACCTAGTAAACTATAAGAATTAGAACTTAAAGAAGTTCTAATTTGACCAGCCGAAAACGACTGAATTTTTCTAAACAAATACATAGAACAATATAAATTCGCCGACATGCACCACAACAATAATAATATTGTATTTATGCACGTTATAAAATTCTATTATTCATAATGTAGTACGCTGGAAATGACTAAAGACCCGTATGGAAACCTTATAAGGCTTTGCTGTGCGTTTTTCAATACATGCTAGAGGAGTTCCTCTATAATAACGTGTAAATTAAATACTATACTCAGAACACTGTGTTTATTTTACGTCATTACGCATGTGCTAACCCAGTCGACTACCGAATTGACCACCTCAAATGTATCAAATATTATCGTTACTTCAAAACTTGCTATTCGCTATAATTATTTACATAATAAATAACGATACTCTACATCACAACGATTCACCATTAAAAATGAAATTAGAAACTAAACACTCTTACAACTTGTGTTGCGCAGAAAAAAATGTCCACGTAAAATAAAAAGTACAAATTTAGAAGAATTAGCAAGGAAAAAACTAATCGATAACTAGCCAAAATTTATCATCCGCAGTAAAAGTAATCCCTTTCACATCTACTCCCCTTCAGTGTTCATAACTAAATTACATTTATTTATTTTTTCAGCCGCTCGGGACGCACACAACCAACAACGTTGGTTTTTACCATTTTCCCCCGTTGAAAGATAGCCATCGATTTGTTTTCCCGGCTAACCGTAGACGGTAGCGGTGGATTTTATGTGGGTACGGTGGTGTGGGAAGAAAACTACAGTCAGAGAACCGACAAATAATATAATATTACGTACTTCGCGTAATGGATATTATATTTATAAATTAAATACAAAATAAAATGGCCAGCGTATTCCACAGTTGGGAAATTCTGTTGCAATCGGTATACCAATAATCGTAAAAATATAATATTAAAAATAATGGTAACGGGGTAACATGATGAAGCTACAGGGGGTTATTTAAAAGTATACAATTTTGTTATGAAGCAAAAGCAAAAAAAGTATATAAAAAAAAAGGATCGATGAAAGAGGTACGGGGAACGTGCATGCACACATTTTGTTTCATACAACCACATATAAAAACTAGGGTGTACACTAGTATGGTGTATTGGTTTATATTTTATAAATATAATAATATTATAGTGTTATGCTGAATAATACATTTTTATTATTATTGCGCGCACACTCACACACGAACACTATAAGGCGCATTCTTGTTATTATCATTGTGCTTGTGAGTATGCACTATTACGATTGAACAGAGAGACCCCCTAGCAGCCATTATTGTTATTATTATTATTATTACTATTACGGTTATGGGATATTATTATTATCATTACTATTATTGTTACTTCGGCTGTACCCCACAGCAACTCTACGACAGTATACATTAATAAAATAAGTTTCTGGTGTAGGACAAGCATATATATATATATATATATAAACATTAAGCTTACCTCTTGAGATATTTATATATATATTACTGGATAGTTGTAATATTAATAATAATAAAACCATTAATTTGTATATAAAAAAAAAAAAACAAGCAGGCATTACGTAAGATCTAGAAAAAGAGAGAGAAGCAATAATAATATTTAACAACCAACATTCGTGTTCATAATATATTATATTCACGCAGCTCTTATAATGTAATGTGGTAGAACATTCGTGTAATTATTATTATTATTATTTTATAAAGAACTGTCCAAACGGCCATAGTGTAGTTTTATTCCCATAAAAACTAAAATATAAAAATAATAAGATTAAATATTTTTTAATACAATATTAAAAATATCAACTTGATACACAAAAAAATCTTTATTACAAAAGAAAAAATGTTACCTTTTTTTTTAAGTTTTGAAACTAAAATTTAAAATAGGGAATGAAGAAAAAAGTTGGAAATAATTGGAATATATGAATATTTCTAGAACGCGTAATACATTTTTCAAAAAAAAAATATTATAATTTATACAAAAAAGTTATTTTTATAAAACTGGATAGACATGTTTATTATTTTATCTTAAATTAATACAATTATTATTTTCGGATATATAAAAAAAATGAATTTTGTGTTTGTATAACTGAACTAGTTTATTCATTAAAATATCCGAATATTTTACAATATGCGATAATAATTTAATATTATATGTATGTGTACATATGCTATGTCTATATTGTAATAATACACCTATCCATTATAATTTTATGTCGATGTCGGTTTTTTTTTTTTTGGGGGTCCCATTTGGGAACTGGTTAGCGCTGATGGTCTAATGGATATATTTACCATCGTACAAACGTATTAGTTATAATATCTTGTGTGTGTACAACCGGAACAAAATAAATAACGATACCTAAATAAACAACACGTCACAGGGATCCAGATCCAGTAGATAACACAAACTTATATCTTACATTTCGCTAAAGAAAGAGATTTGTAAGGAGTACAGAAATTATTTTTCCTATGTACGAATAGAAGCAGTAAAATTCAATGGTTTAATTTTCTTATAATTTTTTTTTACCGGGGCAGATCTCGCACATGCGAGTTGCGATATTACTCATAATAACAACCGTACATAACAATAAGCAACAAAAACGCCGCACTGGAGAATTAAATATACTAACATTTGTGAAATGATTTATTCTTTCAATAGATACAATTTCGATAATGAACAATTAAGTGTTGTTTTAACGTACAGAATTATGACTTTTTTTGTAGAAAACGATAGCACGAGTTGTATCAGTTTTTTAACTAGCTACAACAAAGAATCATAAAGACATATATGTATATGTAGATCCCAACAGACACATACTGTCTACGAGGTATCTTATTATTATTTTGTATCTCGATACATGTATTATTGCATTTTTATAGAATAAATGACGTTATATTTCTTTTATTATTGTAAATTATTACCTTAGCGAGTCTAACTCCCCTGCACGTTAATATCTACAAGCACCGCCGTTACAAATACAAATTATATAGTACATACTTCGGAATAGAATCTATACTTTAAGACATTAAACATCGAATACGCGGATAATGATTATTTTTCTTCACGATCAACACGGTAATAATAATTATAGTAACGACTGGTAATAATAATATATTTAATGTTATTTTATACATCATGACACTGTGGTGGTATTAGAAAGAACTGCTGGAGAGCGTAGAAAAAAAACAGAAGTACAATAATACATCAAAATAATATATTGAGTTTAAAATATATTATGATCGTTC